ACTGTTCTTGCTTGCAAGTTTTTAAACAATGAAAAGTACTCTGTGGAGAATATTTCTGGGGTTATTAGCTGTTGTGTTTTCAAATGCTGGGCAAACTACTCCATGATTCAGTGCCTATTTCTATTACATAAAGGGATAAAGTTAGCAACAGGGGAATCACAAATAGTCTACGTAACCTCTGGGTTACCAAGGGGGAAAAGAACATATTCAGTAGAATGGTAAAATATCCCCAGCATTTAGGGTACAGACCCACACATGAAAGTGGCAAACCAAAGATAAATCGCCTGAACAAACCCTCAAGAACAGTGTAGCAGTGATATTGACAAAGCACTTTACAAGGCTAGATCACATTTGTGCATTTCTTTTCTAGAAAAGTCCAGATGCAGAACAATAACGTATTTGGTGCTTAGTAGTTATCATTAAAGCATCCTCTCTGGGTTCCTTTTTTAAATGCCAGTAGCTTTATAAAAGGAGTGGGAAAAGTGTTTTTTATTTGGGGGTAGAATGTAAGAGGCATGGAAATTCTTGCTATTTCTATTGAGAATTTCTTTAAGGAATGAAGTACCTATAAAATGTTAATATTGCTATTGTCTTTGTAATAAGAAAAAAAAAAGCTTCTTAGGAAATACAGTAATTTACACCTCTAAGGGTCCGTACCAGAATCAGGACGCTATTGAAGTAGCAGCTATGCAGGGCAAACATGTATTTTCCTTGGCATACATCAAGCTGACTGTTCCCACTTAGACCAAAAGCTCACCATGCCAGCAGAGCAAGCAGTTTGCACGGTTCCCTTTCCCTGAGGCCGTGGCCACTTTTGACCTATCTCTGAGGTCTTACTCAGAATGTGCTTCTCCTACTTGCCACTAACATTTTACTATCTGATTTCTATCAACACGACAAATGAGGAAGAATTACAAGTCTGCCTCAGAGAGGCTTTCAAAAACAGGTGATTTTTTTCCACAACCTCCAAATTCTTCATTTTGTTAGAACTATAATAAGAGATCATCTGAATTTTACTTCAGAGTCCCTCTGGTCTGACAGACCTAGGGAGTTCATGTCATGTAAAGTAAGCTGCTTCTGAAATGTCCTTGGTAAGCTTCGGGTCCCTCAACAACACTTGTGTACATCCTGCAAGTGACATTCTGGCCTGTTCTTGGTGGTAACAATGTGCTTAGGGGAATTCTCTCCCAAGGAGACAGCAAGCCTCTTCTCTTCCTTAGCCCACTAATATCTATCTCTACAATATCCCGTGATATTTTGGCCTCTTAGTAAAATGAGTCTGAAGGACAAACAGTAGCTGCTCTGGGAGTTGAGCTGTCCCATGCCAAGGGTACCCAAGAGTTTAGCAAAGCCAGTGATCATTCTTAGGCTCACGGTAATATCTTTCTTCACATGCAAATATGTAGTACATGGGCAAAGTGGAATTTCTTTTTTCTCTCAACACTGAGAATGCCCATCAGACCTGCAAGAGAAGCCAACTGCCCACCTCTTAATGGAGTAAAGATCTACTGACCAGGAATTATATGAGACTAACTAACAAAGGAGACCTGAAGACATATAAAGGCATTTAAAGCAGTATCCATAGTTTATCTAGAAAGAAAAGCCCCCAAAGGGAAATTGGTAACACAGAGAGGGGTGCAAACTATATTCATTTAACTCTGTTTTTTGTGTTTTTTTTTATAAAAAAGACTGATCTAGAAATTAATGAGGAAAAAACAAAAACAGCCATACATAGGCATTCATTTACAAAGCACAAAAGAAAATAAGAGGTCACAAAGTTTTGAGTATAAACATATTCAGAACTATTCACAAGCTGTTTAATACTCAAAGCATTGAACAAAGCAAACAAAAAATTAATAATCACTGTGCTCACCTAAACTTACAGTTCTATTACTTCACAGACAAGGGGGAGGAAGGGAACCTGGTAGGATTTAGTAGCAAACTAAATATATACAGATAAAAGGGTTAAATGTAGCTTGAGGTATAAAGCTGGCAAAACCCACATATGCCACATTATAACCAATCAGTTCAGTTGGTAAATATTTATGTTTAAAAATGTCTACCACAGCCTTATTTAGAACAATTATAATTAAAAACAATTTACATGCCCAATAATTACTGAATAGTTAAATAAATAATATTTGAAAGTATACATAGTCATTACAAATTTTTGAATGATTTTAATAGTATAATGCTCATAGTAATTAAAGAAAAAATCCATAGTAGTGGAATATAATTTTAATTATGTAAAAAAGAAAAACAAGGACATATAAAAAATTAAATCAAAAGACTAAAAGAAAATATTCTGAAGTGATAAAAATGGTTATCTCCAGTGTATGTATACACACACTTCCTAGTTCTGAATGTTCAAAGAGCCCACTGTCAGTGAGCATCCCTAGCACCCAGATTTTGGTTTCTAAATACCACAATCAACGGAAAAGAATCAGGGCTCCTTGGAGAAAGACTGATTCCAAAGCTAGGACAGGGAAAGTATAAGATGAGCCTAGCATCGGGACCGGTTTTGCTCAATGGATAGAGCGTCGGCTTGGGGACTGAAGGGTCCCGGGTTCGATTCCGGTCAGGGGCATGTGCCTTGGTTGCGGGCACGTCCCCAGTGGGGGGTGTGCAGGAGGCAGCTGATCGATGACTCTCTCTCATTGATGTTTCTGACTCTCTATCTCTCTCCCTTCCTCTCTGTATAAAATCAATAAAATATATTTAAAAAAAAAAAAAAAAAAAAAAAAAAAGATGAGCCTAGCATAACTTTGTTGTGCCAAATGGTAAGAAAGTGCTCAAATTACTAGGAACATCTCCAAAATACACAAGCTAGCTTGAAGGGGCTTCCATTAATATGGGACAATTTAAAATCAAAGTAAACAGCTGGGACCAGTTTGGCTCAGTGGATAGAGCATCGGCCTGTGGACTGAAAGGTCCCGGGTTCAATTCCGGTCAAGGGCATGTACCTTGGTTGCGGGCACATCCCCAGTAGGGGGTGTGCAAGAGGCAGCTGGTCGATGTTTCTCTTTCATCGACGTTTCTAACTCTCTGTCCCTCTCAATTCCTCTCTGTGTAAAATCAATAAAATATATTAAAAATAAATAAATAAATAAATAAATAAATAAATAAATAAAATAAAAGTAAACAATGACACTAACAGATTATAATTCACTATTATAAATGATCCATACTGATATATAATAAATGAATGGTAAAAAAATAAGTAATCTTACAAAAATACTATATTATAATAAATCAGAGGCCCAGTGCATGAAATTCGTGTAGGTGAGGGGAGCAAGTCCCCTCAGCCTGGCCTGTGCCCTCTCGTAGTCTGGGATCCTTGGAGGATGTCCATCTGCCAGCTTAGGGGGATCGGAGCCTAAACCAGCAGGTGGACATCCTTCTTGCAATCCAGATCCTTCGGTCCTTACTGCCTGCCTGCTTGCTCCTTATTGCTCAGCTCCCTGCTCACTAGACCCCACCGCCGCCGCTGCACTAAGCAGTTTCTAGCTGAGCAGCACTGGCCCTGCATTGAGCACCTGCCCCCTGGTGGTCAGTGCTCATTATAGTCACGGGTCGTTCCGCTGTAACAGTTGCTTAAGCTTTTATTATATAGGCTAGTAGCCCACTGCATGAATTCATGCAGGGGGTTGGGGGTGTCCCTCAGCCCGGCCTACACCCTCTCCAATCTGGGATCCCTCTCGCAATCTGGGATTGCTGGCTCCTAACTGTTCACCTGCCTGCCTGCCTGATCACCTTTAACCATTCTGACTGCTGGCCTGCTCACCCCCAACTGCCCTCCCTTCCTGGCCTGATTGCCTCTAACCATCTCTGCCCCGGCCCCACCACCATGACTTTGTCTGGAAGGCCATCCAGAGGGTCTCCTGGTCTAATCAGCAATAATACCCTTTCATTGGTATAGATAGAGGGCCCTTGCATGGGTGGGGGCTGGCTGATCTACCCTGAAGGGGATCCCGGATCAGGGTGGGGTTCTCTTTGGGGGGTGGGGCCGGCCTGGGCAAGGAGCTGATGGCCATTTGCAGGCCAGCCATGCCCCCATCAGGGTGGAAGTGCCCACTGGGGTGTATGGCCGGCCTGGACAAGAGGCTGAGAGTCGTTTGGGGGTGGTTTGCAGGCTGACAAAGCCCTTGGCTTTGTCCAGAAGGTCTCCTGATCTAATTAGCATATTACTCTTTTATTAGTATAGATTGCCAGCTAATAAATATAGAAGAAATTATTTTAAAAATGGTTATCTCTGAATTGTAATATTATGAGTATACATTTCTATTTTGTGTCAGCTTTATAAAATGAGCATATACTGCCAAAACCGGTTTGGCTCAGTGGATAGAGCATCGGCCTGTGGACTCAAGGGTCCCAGGTTCGATTCCGGATAAGGGCATATACCTTGGTTGGGGGCACATCCCCAGTGGGGGGCATGCAAGAGGCAGCTGATCGATTATGACTCTCTCATCGGTGTTTCTAACTCTCTATCTCTTTCCCTTCCTCTCTGTAAAAAATCAATAAAATATATATTTTTTTAAAAATGAGCATGTACTTCTTTTATAAAAATACTTTAAAAAAAAAAACACCAATCCTTAGCAGCAGCCTGAACACGTATAACATAATGTACATCTCTACAGCCATTTTTAAAAGGACAGCATATGCACAAAACCCCTGAACATAAATCAAGTGCATGTGCTGTCTTGACCTGTCTGTCCTAGACAAGAGCTCAGGTGCACTGAGCAGGTGGCTAAAGTTAAAAACAAAACAAAAAAGCAAAATCAAACAAAAATCCACCAGAGGCAACAATGAGATGTATGGAAATTTTGTTTTGGTTTTACAGTAATTATGCAAGTGAAGAAATGTGACAAGGACCCTTGCTATGATGCCCATGACAAATGGTTAACTGATAAGAAGAAATGGAGAGGGTGACAGGCTGTAGAACAGGTCAATATCAGGCTGTCATGAAGCCATTTGAGACACATAATTAATCTATTACTCACCTGGCATCATCATTCATTGTGGTATGGTCAATAGGTGCCATGAAGCTCAGTAGCTTGCTAAGGACATGAAACCTAAAAAAAGCAGGAAACAGGCAGCAACATTAGTAACTATTAAACTAGAAAAGGAAGCACATCCTATGAGGTAACAAACTCCAGAACATTTGGCTCCAGAGTTGAGTAGAAAACACAGTCAGGCATGTAACACAACTACAGAACCCTTTTTCCTCAATGCTACGAAGAGAAAATGTGTGTGGTAACAGCACATTGTAAATGACAGTTCAACACAGATCCATTTACCGGTATATCTCAGCCCCCAGAAAGTAGATACATTGTGTCCTTAGCAATATGCTAAACGTTACTCCCTTAAACATTATTCCAGATAGCTATACAATTTATTCTATGTTTTTTTTTAAATACATTTTATTGATTTTTTACAGAGAGGAAGAGAGAAGGATAGAGAGTCAGAAACATCGATGAGAGAGAGACATTGTTCAGCTGCCTCCTGCACACCCCCTCCTGGGGATGTGTCTGCAACCAAGGTTCATGCCCTTGACTGGAATCGAACCCGGGACTCTTCAGTCCGTAGGGCAATGCTCTATCCACTGAACCAAACTGGTTTCGGCCCGAGGTATTTTTCATTGATTTCGAGAGAGAGTGAAAGATAGAAAAATCGATGTGAAAGAAATACATCGATTGGTTGCCTTCTGCACACCTCCCCCCTCACCAGGGTGCGGGCCAGTGAGGAGTCTGCAACCAGGTACATGCTCTAGATTGGAACTGAACCAGAGCCCTCAGGTCCATAGGCTGACACTGACCAAACTGGCATCCACTGACCAAACTGGCTAGGGATGTAAGACATATTTTTATTGGATGGCACTGCTGTGTGGAATACCTTTACACTGTAATACAATATAGTAACTATTAACTGCATGATGAAAGACAAGCGTACAGAAGTAATCAGATTAAAGACATTTAGTAATATGTGCTTAAAGCAATGTATTTCATCTAATCTTAGTACTGCTGAGGATGAATGCATGTTTTAGTATTAAAACACCTTTTACCAACCATACTAAGAAAAGATAAGTGTAATTTTGTGCAGAAGAATAGAGACAAACACAGTAGACATCTCATTATTAAAGACCTGAAAATTTAATTCATTTACATTACAGATCCTGATTAAATCAGTCAAATCCACTTATATATACTGCTGCGTAAAATACTGATAATCAATAGTTATAATTATTTCTAAAAATCAAAATATTCTTTTTTCTTTTTTTTAATCCTCACCAAGGAGATGCTTAGAGAGAGGAAGGGGAGCAGGAGAGAGAGACATCAGTGTAAGAGAAACACTGTTTGCCTTCCATATGCTCCTCAACCAGGGATCAAACCCTCAACCCAGGTATGTGCACTGACTAGGAATCAAATATGTAACCTTTTGGTGCACAGGACAATGTTCAACCAGTCAGGCCAAAATATTCTTTTTTTAAAATTATTTTCCAGTATCCAACCAGGAAGGTGCCATGCCCAGTCTGATCAGGCTGATGCCACTGACCTGCTATCATTTCAACTAATATTTCCACAATGTAATGTTCATTGTTGTTACGACATTTCTGGAAATCTTATCTTTCCAACCATACCATAAAGCGTAAAGCTTGCTCAATGATAGAACCTCGTATCAGTTATGACAGCTAGTTGAGATTTAATTTAAGGAAGAATTCATAATATTCTCATCTAGCGTGAGCCACTTGGTTTAATCTTTCAGGGCAGAATGCTAATGTAGCCCAACTGTCATTCTGGCGCCTGCTATGGCCACTTGGTCCTGCCAGAGAAACAATTCAACATCCAGAGGTTATATGCATGGGCTCTGGAATCAGACCAATTAGCTCAAATCCCTGTTTGATAGGAACTAGCTCTGTAATGCTGGGTATATTGTTGACCACTTTACATGAATTAGCTAATTTAATCTGCACAACAACCTATGAGATGTGACTTTTACTTCATTCCTCAGAGAGGAAATTGCAGCTCAGAGATATAAAGTTATGTGCCCCAGGTCTCAAGGGCAATCAGTGGGAGAGTCAGATTTCAAACCTAGACAGTTTAGCATCACTGCCTGTGCTTCTTCTATCTCTGCAGGGCTCAAGAGTGAATTTCATAAATGTTAGTTATCACTATTGCTATCAATTAAGATCATCCTCTGATTCTGATCACATCCCTCATATTTATGGTAGAGAGCCAGGTGAATACAGATGACAAAACTGAAAAACCAAAACACATGACCACATTCATTACTTTCCTTTTTACAACAATTTTAGACTTATAGAAAAGCTGCAAACATAGAGTAGAGATTCATGTTTAATTTCACCCAACTTCCTGTAATGTTAATAATTTACCTAAACATAGTATAATTGTCAAAATCAGGACATTAACACTGGTATAATACTACCAACTAAATTATACACCTTATTCAAATTTCACCAGTGTTTACTCCAATGTCCTTTCTCTTTTCTAGGGTCCAAGCTAGGACCCCACATTGCACCTGGATTTCTCAAGGTTGTGTTAAATTCAGCACATTAAAAAACTGAATCTACTCCCTCCCTCAAAGACAAAAATCATTTTCTTCTTGCAGCTTCCTTCTGAAAACTTGAGAGTCAACTCTTAACGTTCTCACTTTTCTTTATCTCCTTTCATCTTTCTAAAATGCAACTGAAATGTAATAACATCCCTCTGCCTAAAGTCCTAAATGACGCACTACAGCCTACAGAGTCAAGTCCAAGTTTCTTCAACTGGCTATGATCTAGCACTCACTACTTAAACAGCTTCATTTCCTACTCCACATTCACTTTACGTCTCTCCCCAAATTAATTGCAATTCCCCAAATGGCCATGTATACTCTCTAGACACATCTTTGCAAACGTTATTCTTTTTGGCCTTTCACTGGCTAACTGTTCCTAGACTGCTCAGTGTGAAGTGTGGATGCTGCACCTTACAGAAAGTCTCCCTAAGGAGTCTGAGTTCCCCCAGAGTGAGTCAGGGAATCCTGTACCAGGATGATCTCTACCATAGCACTTTCCACACAGCATCACTTATTGGCTAATTGTCTACCATGTCTCCAGACTACATGCCCCTTGAGGGTAGAATGTGTATTCCCCAGCTCCTAACATTGCTCCTAGAACTTCAGAAGAAACCCTTATCTTTTTTTAAAAAAAAAACCTTTTTATCTGTTTATGTTTAGTCCTCTTTAAGCAGAATGTCTATCTCCTGCTTGCCTGTTGTCAGAATAAGATGTCAAATGCCTCTGGATTTATAATTTTAATCATTATCAAAATGCTAAAAACACAGAAATATATTAGTAACATGTACCTCTGAAGAACAGTTTAATGAGGTTTAATAAATATAAGAAAAAGCAGTTGCTATTAAAACAAAATCCTTTTTCTAAAATTTTAACCTAATAAATAACAACTCTGATAAATTAATTTTTTTAAATATATTTCTTTTTTTTAAATTGATTTCAGAGAAGAAGGGAGAGGTAGAGAGAGACAGAAACATCAATGATGAGACAGAATCATCGATTGGCTGCCTCCTGTACGCCCCCCACGTGGGACTGATCCCGCAACATGGGCATGTGCCCTTAGCTGGAATCGAACCCAGGACCCTTCAGTCTGCAGGTCAAACCAGCTAGGGTGATAAATTCATTCTGATTTGGAAAACAGACCTGTAGTTCTCCTGAGGTGTTTGCCATGCTCACTTCTCCAACACTCATCAAGGTTTCTTAATCTGTATTATGTTTAGACTCACTGCCATTTCTCATTACCTGATGAGCATGTTCATTTTATTGTCATAATCATCCAAAAACATTTTCTGGCTGACTAATGTCTATAAGGCACTACAGCAGATAATAAGGATGGAATTGTCTTAAAGAATAAAGCAGCATAATTATTGCTCTCAAGAGGCACACAACTATAGCTACTTGTACCAATAGTTTTAAAATTTGTAACAGTAAAATATGTAGAAAAGGCATTATTTTCTTCTCTTAATTCTTTTGAAGAGCATATATTTGCAACAGGAATGCCAATAGATACACACAAGAGAAACAAAATAAACCAACACTTTCAAATGCTTACTATGTACCAGGCATTTGTACATTATTTTAATCCTCAAACCAAATATTGTTGTTTTTTGCTTAGTTTAAATAGATTTGCTTTATTTGCAACCTAAAATTTTTAAACTAATTTGCACATGTCCTTTATATTTAAGCTCATGGTGCAATGGGGAAAACAGATCCACCCACAAACCAGGCATTTAATACATGGTATAAGATATTATGAGACAATAGAGAGGAGAATAAGGGAATAACTGATGGAGTTGGAGGAAGGCTTACAGCTAAAGTAATATCATACCAAATCTTTAAAGTAGGGATTATTATCTCCACTTAATAAGTGAGAAAGTGAGGCCCAGAGAATAAAGAATAAGCAAAATTATATAGCCAGACAGAGCCAGGATTTGAACCCAAGTCTTCTAATTTGAAATCTTGGGCTCTTCCCTCTAGAAAACATATATTGCCTCATACAGCTATATAATTTTTAAAGCACAATACTGGATAAAAATTGATCTCAAAATTAAAGAATAAGTTTGGCCAATTATAAAGTACTATTAGTAACTTTCTTTTGCAAGTCCGTACAGAGGTGGCATGTATAGAAGAAACATGTACAATAGAGGCATGCATGTGAACCAGCAAGTAAATGAACACTAGAGCAGGAGACAGGCCTAGTCTTAGTGTAATAATAACAACAATAATGATGGTAATAATGGCAGCAAATATTTATACTATGTACCTGGCACTGTTCTAAGAGTAGCACATATATTTACTCTCTTAATCCTCACAGCAATCCTACAATCCAGTACTACTATCACCCCCATTTTACAGATGAAGGCACTAGCACAGATAGTTTAACCGTTTTGCCCAAAGTAACTACTAGTCAATGTCAAAGCTGGGATTTAAATTCTGGCCGTTTGGCTCTCGAGTACATGCTCTTAACCACTACTCTAAAAACAATCCTGGGGAGCTATGAAGATTTGGAAACTTCAACATGTGAAAAAAGGTAATTTCTGCAAAGTTATCGAAAAATAAGCATTTCCTGAGAAGTTCTGTTAAACACTCAAAAAGGTTCATTAAAGTAGTTGTGAAATCTGCTTCTCTGAAGGTATTTAAAAATGAGATAGATCCACATTTGTCCAAAGGGAATTTAATGACAGGCAGGCTCTAATAAGGATGTGGGATTAGCCACCTGCTTAAAACTGTCCTAATACAATGAGTTTAAGAATTTTTTTCAACATGCACCTGAATTACAAGTAGTTTCTTTGTCACTGAAGCTTTGTGTGAATGATATAATGTAATACATATAGTTACAAGGAATCTAAATCTAAAAGCATAAATTTAAAACACTCCCATTCTCATTCCTTTTTTTCTCTGCATATTTGTAATACATCTTAAAGAAATCACAGGGTTGGGAGTTTTCCTATAGTTAGAAATTTCTTGGCTTTCTCATAAAAATTATATTTCTTATCTCATTTAAGCACATTGTTAACATTCTCTGGAATCTTTAATTATAACTTTTTAGCATAGTGTGTACATGTATAGCATCATGAAATGAACCAATATAAATCCTATTCTAAATAAGACTCCAAAACCAAAAATTTTATAGCATTCTACAGAAATCACCTTTTAAAACTAAGACATTTCAACTATCTTGCCTTGTTTACTTATTTCTCCTTCAGAAAATTGCAGATATTACATGACCTACCCATTTACAAAAGTAGAAAAAAAACCAAACCCATAAGACCATTATTTCCATTTTTGAGTAAGGAAATTAGGTCAGAAAAAAGTTTCAAATATTTCAGTTATTTTCCTGATCCTTAAAAACAGAATCACCAGAAGAAATAGTAAAATGACATAACAGGCAAAAATGCAAAAGAGAGATATTAACATAATAGGTTCAAATTTTTTCTGAAAAGTAACTCACCGAAGTTTCCGTCCTTTGCTGGCTTTCCTATCTACTTTCTTGTGGATTTTGCTTCGTAACTTCTGGATTGCAAGCCACTGCCTGGGAGATTCACAAGCAATGTTATGCATCATCACTAACAGAAATAGTTATACGTATTGACAAATTGGAATTTTTCCCACTAACAACCCTGCAGAAAGAAATCATCAACCTACATGAAGTTCCTCAAGATAGTCTGGGGCCAAAGTGACTAATCAATTGAAGAGGATTTGTGCAATAGTAAAAAAACAAATGGCAGCTGGGAAATTCTACAGCAAATTTGGTTAACAATGCTCCTTAGTATTTGGAACTGCTGTGACAAGCACTAAATAAATCTACCAGTCTGTAGAAAAACCTATCAAATTGAGTATAGCTGCTTGGGTTTGCTTTTAATGTTTTAGCTGTGCAGCAAGTTCTATTACTAAAATTGCAAATCCTGGTGTGGTTTAAACACATGAATTCTTTAAATCTAATTTTGCCTTTGTTAATAGCCAACTGTTTTTTCTTGTGTTTTCCAATTTTTGCTAATTTTAAAAATAATTATCCACTACTGATACCAGTTTTACAGTAACTTTACTTTTTTTTTATTTAACTTGTGATATTTCGGAATGTGTTGCTAAAGGGTAAGGGCTCTCCTCCCCTCCACCCAGTATAAGCTCAATATCACTGTCACATCTAAAAAAAGTTAACAATAATTCCTTACTATCAAATATTCAGTCAGTCTTCAAATTTTCCAGATTGTCTCAATTTTGCAGTTTGTTTGAATCAGGATCCAAACACGATTTACATTTTCTACAATCATTTTTGATTAAAAGGAATTAATTTTTCAAATAAAAGATACTGGGCTAAAAAAAAAAAATCTTCATAAATTGCTCATATGAACAAATGGGGAAAAACCAACGGTAGCAGCTCGTCATCTTACCTGATTTATACAATGGAAATTCAACGGGGGGGGGGGGGGGGGGGGGGAAGAACCTAGGGAAATCCAATTACTGTAATCTTAATATAATCTTAATTACCATAATCTATTTTATTGTAAAGTGAGATAAATGTACAATATAATCACCACTTAAATACAATTTATGCTATCACATTAAATTTATAGTGAACAGCTCTCTATAACATTCCAGGGAGACACAAAATACCAACAACATCCTATCCTAAAATTCAAATAATGTTTTACTCAAAATTATTTCATCAACACAAAATTTTTCTTTGCATTCTCCAAATGTTTCTCTGCACAGAATCTACTCTGGCACTTGCAGCTTTAGTTTCCTTTCAGGCTTTTGCAAATTATGGCTCATGGCTATTTAAATGTACACTATTCATTAGGTAGCACTCTAAATGCCCTTTTTATTTTCCAACCACAGGATGAAGCATACACACAAGGGCCTTCCTTCACTACTTTGCATTCTCCCCTGACATCTGGGTAATGCTGCCACGTTCCATTTCTAATTGTGCTGAAGCTTTTATTGAGGGGTGGAGGTCTAAATTAGGGCAGACTCTAACAAAGCAGATTCAACTACCAGCAAGGAACCTGTTGTACACAGTGCCATATCTGACAGCTGAGAGCACACATTTGGGGTTTCTTTTATCCACTGGTCAGAGACTGATACAGGTACAGTCACAATCCAAATCAGAGAGCACAGAGCATAAGAAGGATTTTAAAAAACAAACCTAGAACAAATACATATTTATAACCTCTTATACAAACTACACATAAGGGAATGTAGGGTAAAGAATTAGGGTTTCCATCACTTTGTCTTTCTAGCTCTTATAATCTTACTCAACTTTTATAATCATAGGGCCAATCATTACCTTGGAGGCAGAATTAAAGGAAATCAAAGAGAGAAATATTATGTAGGCTGCTTGCATAAATAAAAAGCCATATCTAAATTACCTTCCCATGGCCACCTGATCATTGGGATCCAACGAGCTGGTCTTCCGTTCTATGAGTTCTCGAAGGAGCTAGGGGGAAAAATAAAGCAACTGGTTTATTTATTATCTCCCAGCACCAACTAACTTTAAAAGGGCACAGTAGGAGTTTTGAATGGCACAGTAACATCTCTAAAACTACAATCAATAAGGGACAACCCAATGGCAAGAGCATGACTGAATTCCCATTAACCCATTCCATATTTATATATTCTTAAAAAGGTGGCTAGAGCAATAGCTGAGAACAGAGAAGTCCATTTGGAAGACTTATTATACTGCAGTTCATTCCAAATGGATCAATGAATCTGCAACATCCCCTTCATTGTTTTTATGATTAGTTTTGTCCACCTCATCGATATCAATGGAGAATCTTTAAAAGGTCAGGTGGGAAGGGCTATGTGGCAAAAAGGAAGATGCATCAGCTTCTCACCAATAGGATCATGGTACATAGTTAACTTCTGACCTATAATCTCCAGTAGTCAGGAAGGTCTTCCTCAGGCAAAAGCCTTTATTTTATATAATTAAAGGTGTGGACTTCATTCTCTTGTTTTCCATAGCTAGTACTCTACCTTGCTAACTATTAAGTGATTTAACCATATATGACACAAACACATTCACAGCCACAATAATTTTAAGAGGGAACCTAAAGGAAGACATTTCAAATACAACACAGAAAACTGGTCTCTCATCCTATACAATTAACTTCATAGGAACTCTATCCACCTCTTCTACTCTCCTCTTAATCCTGGGTAGTCCACTGCATGCAATCAGAGTCTACATCTTTATCTTTTACACAGACCTGACCATTTGCACTGCGTCTTAAGGTCCTAGGTAAAGAGAAGCAATGGATTTAAAAAGTAAACATTAAAGGAGGAGAATTTTAAATTACAATAATAAAACTGCATATCATCTCCCCTATTCAAGTGCTATAAGTATGCAGGAGAATAGGAACAGAGATTAAAATTCTAAAAATTTTCTATGAAAAATCTAAGGGAAGACACCAAAATAAGCTAGTTCCTGCTAATCATCTGTCAATAATACTGGTTTGACTATAAAACTTGTTTCTTCACAATAATAAGTAATTGCTTCATAGAGACATGGCAGCAATATAAATATTTCACCAAGTTAAATAACTCAAGTCTGTGGGAGAATAGAGGAGGAGGAATAAATTCCTATGAAAGTAGTTCATGCTCTCAATTTCATTTGTATAAGTAGGCACTGGAAGAAATAAAACAAATTTATAAAAATATTAATTCCCAAAAGGGAAAAGGATATCTCAATTGCAATTAAAGAACTGCCTGAGATGTTTTTTTTCATTTGCTTATTTTAGACACTAATACTATAGCAATTACGTTTAAAATGCGGGGACCAGAGGCCACTGGTTTATTATCACTAGAAAACAGCAAGCTATTTCTCTACCCTGTTTATCTGATTGATTCCCAACACCTTTCTGGCAGCCAATCTATCAGTTTATCTCTCCTACTTCATCACAGTCACTTCTGGCAGCTAAATACAAGATCCAAATCCAGTGTTACACAGACATACGACATAGTAAACCTCTGTAACACTGCTACTCTGTAAACAGCTGCCCTTAAGGCTAAGCAAAAATGGGCTTCTGGTCCCTAGTCAATATGTTGTCAAAAGCAAGGTTGGGAGAGAGAAGAGGGAGAGATTAGTAATAAAAAGAAATAAAAATAAATATTTTTAAATAAAGAAGGAAAAGAAGAGAAATAAAATATAATGGGATGACCGCATCTCACTGCCCTTACCTTGTTCCAGCCACATAAGAAATTACAACTGTTCCTGGTTTTCCTAATCAGCTCTGATCCCTTGAGACTGGGGCTGTCATGGCCACTGGGAGCAAGTGCTCATGGAAGGCTGCCCCAGCACAAAAGGGGTGATCCTCTGGAAGAAAGCCCCATATGTCCTTCCCAGAGGCTGAAAACAGGAGCCGCACACTGCAGTGGATCCATTACACTTGCAGTGGCCTCTGCAATCCAAACACCAGGATGGTGCATGTTTACTTTCCAGCACTCTGGGTACTTTACATAGGCTGGTTTGCATTTAAGTGCTTTATGTGGCTATTCTTAGTCATTCGTGATTAGGCAGATGGTATTCTTGGTCTATATGGCTGTCTTGCTTATTCAATCCAATATTTCAAAAGATCCTGTTGTGTGTACGGTAGTAATAAAAAAAAGTAGCAAGAAAATACAAGTAAACTATTCCCATGGGTATTACTATTTTGCACTGGGTTTGAATTTAATTAGGAAAATGCTTTCAGAAAAGTTTCAGGGGAAAAAATGAAGCTTTAGGGATATTGCTGAAGAATTCAATTTTGCTTCTCAGTACAATTTTTATAAGCTGAACTTTTATGAACAAACTTTTCCATTAAAATTCAGGTTTTGGTTACAGTTACTGGAGCTTTTAATTTTGACAATGATGACACAATATTTGTAATTTTCTATGTGACTTGGGAAATGGAGCGATGTGTGAAATATTTTTGTTCTAGCCTGTTATAATTCCTCCAGAGAGTCAACTCAGAAAAGCTAGATTGTTCTCGAGTTCTAGGGGAAAATCATAGAGTTAGGTTTCCAGGTCAGCCCACAGAAGCCTATTTAATCCATAACAACATACATGAGGAATAGCATTGCTAGTATTATGCAGCATCTAATCAGCATTTATAATACTTTCCCTAGAAAAATGTATGCCAGAATCAGTTAAAAATGGCAGATTGAACACATTAGTTTATTTCTTCTCCCTTCTCAAGCCTCTAAAAGACAGTAGAGGAATAAAATAAATGTATTAACCCACAAGAAAGAAAAGAAAGAGAGAGCTAATGAGAGCAGATTTTCATAAATTTTTCAAAGACAGTCAGGAGATGGAGGAGTAAAAGGAAGTTATCACTCAAGCACCCAGAGGGAATAAGGTGGGGGTGGAGCTAATTAGGCTGACAGAAGCCTAGGGAGGACGAGCTCTTGGAGTGGCAGTTACCATGAAAGGTGGGGAAGGGGAGGGGGCAGAACTACTGGGCCCTCTCCATTTACCCCCTCACCACTTCCTCTCACTGGAAGGGGGTAGGGGGATGGGGGGGGAGAGAAGACATTAAGGAAGTTTTATTCTCTGGAAAAATTGAGCCACAGAAGCTCCAGACAGAGAAATAGAAGGCACAGAAGCCTGGGATGAGGCATAAGAAAAAGGCACTGTGCTCCTCTCCGGGTCCTTCGGCTTCCTTCCCATACCCTAGGCACAGAATGTTAGCACCCACATATTAAACCATCTAGGCAGCAGAGCACAGGAGGAGTCCTTTCTGGAGAGACTGCAGGGCTGATCCATGTTCTCCCTCCCCAGAAAATAATATGTCCAAGTTCTGACATTTGAGAATATTCCAACCAAAAGAGGTGAGTTCACAGCACAATTATAAAGGAGCCAAAAAGCTATGATCAGTTTTCAGAGGTATTTTTTAATGCCTTCCTCTTAAATATGAAGAGACAGTTAAGGATCATCAGCATCTGAAGAGAGCCTCAGACATAGACCAAAACAAACAGAAAAAAAGAAAAGGGACTCAAGAAAGCAATGGTGGGGGGTGGGGGTTGAGGAGGTGGCACAGAAGAAAGGAGGAAGGGGAAAAAATACAATTCCATAAGAACAGGATGCTGAGGAAAAATGTAAAACAAGAAATTAAATACAAACAGAAAAAATTCAATTTCAACAGAATGACTGGAAGATAAATATACAAAAATCTTTCAGATACAAAACCAAAAGGTGAAAAGATAATATCCCCTTGCTTTTTTGTGAGGAAAAAAAAATCTGGAAGACAATCCAGAATGTCAAATATCTGACTAACAAAGGATGGGAGAACATTATTTAAGAAATAACGAGAATTTCCCAAAATTGAAGGACAGGAATGAACCTACAAAGATCTAGTACAGTGAATGAAAAAAGATTTTCCCAAGACACATCATCGTGAAATGTGGAACACAAGAAGTGAAGAGAAGATCCTAAATGACTAGAGAAAAACAGGTCACATATTAAAGAGGGTGACCACATGTTCCAGTTTACCCCAGAGAGTCCAAGTTTATGCTGCTATCCTAGTATTCTTTCGAGGCAAGCAGCTCAAGTGTCCCAGTTTTGGCAATAAATTATATAGTCATTTAAGAAATGAAAATCTAAATGGAATTAGACATCTCAATAGCAACAGCAGATACCAGAGGACAGCTGAGCAATGCCTTCAAAATTCTAAGGAAAATGACTTTCAACCTCAAATTCCATACACAGCCAGAGTGTTAACCAAGTATGAGAGTTACATAAGACATTTTCACACATGCAGGGCCTCAACAATTTACTCTCCACATACTCCTTTCACAGGAAGTTGTGCTTCAGTAAAATGAGAGCATACAGCAAGAAAGAAAAAGAATGAGATGCTCAGAAGCAGGTCTAACTAGGAAAAAAGCTAAGGCAAGACCACAGATGACAGTGGCCCAGTAGCCGTTCCAGAAGGAACAGAGTCCAGGGAACTCTGGAGGAAGGTCTCCGGGGAAAAGACAGGAGGAGGGGAAAGTAAAAGGTTATTTTATATATCTGAGGCATTTTGAGTAAGGGGGGGGGGGGGGGGGAATACCAAGAAATAAACAGGAAACAAAGCAGATTGTTTTAAAACAGGTAGAATTAGCTCTAGAAAACAAATTTGTGAGGAAATGTAATTACAGTCTATTACTTGTGAATATTTATTTAGTCCTAACAGTGTAACACTCACTTGTTTTCACAAAACTCTTGACAATGTACATGGAGAATGGAGAAGTGAAGTGTGGAGGAAAAGCATATAGGAGAGCTAGGGCCTCACTACCAAAAATCAAGAAATGATTTGATAAATGACTAAAATTGACATATCAACAGTATATATTATTTTTAAATATGTGAGTAATTAGGAAAATAAATAAAAGTATAGGAAGTTTTTACCCTCTAGGACTTCTTAGCACCCTACTATTATAACATTTCTTAGGCAATGGAGAAGCCAAGAAGAATGTGTCAGTATT